TTGATCAGTTATTAGAGTAAAGTGGTTGCACAACAGTGTGTTGCCACATTTTAACAGCTTCAATGATAGCTGTAGTGTGCTTCTCCACCAAAGGGTAGTTTAACTTACTCTTATTTAGGCTGCATGACATGAAGACAACTGGATGGCCATTGTGATTAAGAGTTGCAGACTCTTCAAAATGAAAGGCATCACATTCTACCAAAAAAAACAAACTCTTTCATCAATAAAGTTCAGTGTTGCAGAACACAATTTTTCTTTGAGTTCATTAAAAGTCCTAAAGCTTCTTTATTTATCAGGATTTAGTATTGAACAATGGACAGATTTTATTAGAAAATGAAGGAATCCATTTGAAATAATATGAAAATATACCTACGGTCTGCCTTGGACAGACAGTATCTGATAGGAGTGGCCACATCTGGAGTGGGCGCAGGCAGTCAGGATCTGGCTGTATAGTATTATGGTTTACATCATATCCAGGTATTTTAATAGACAATAAAGATATTACAGACTTTGATTCATTTAGTGTAAGACCCCATTTTTGTGCCACTTGTTGGAATCTCTGACAATTTGAATCATGGTGTAATCATAATAGTGATATGTATCTGTAAGTTTCTCCTTTTCAACATAGAAACATTTTTCAACTTTTTAAAGATAGGTTACATCAAAATGCAACCTACAAAACCGGTATAATTTCTCATTGGCCTTAAAGGCAATAAACGTTTTATCTGCCTCAATTATCAGAATCTGATGGTAGGTGCTCTTCAGGTCAAAAGTCAAAAATACTTTGTACTTTGTCAGACTGCTTATCATATCATTAATCCAAAGAATAGAGTAGGCATCCAAATGTGTATATAGATTAATCATTTGGGAATAATTTCAATGAGGTTATCTGAGAGTAACTAGGAAATTTTCCTCTCAATGAAGGCCTGATCATCTCTATTAAAACATGGGGATTTGGTAGCAACACTGTGGACATTCACAGGTATACTGGAAAATAAGGAGGGTATATTTACCTTAGCTGTAGCAAGAACACAGTGTGTATTTCTCTCATCAATTTTTAAGTTGTCTTGGGTTACATCATTGATGAAGATTACATTTTTGTGTAGCTTTTGAAATTCATATATGAAAATTACTGTCACACACAGATTATTCAAAACCCGAATTTCACTTTTACATATTTTCTGGTGCCTACTTCTATATTGGTAATGCAAACACCAGTATAATTGGCTTCCATGGTTTTAAGATCCATAGACATTTTTGGGGGGCTTAATAGATTGAATGTGTTTTCACTAATAAGGTTTTCTGAACTACAAGAGTTTCTATAAGAGCAATAATCTGTTTGTTCTTTGTGGTGATTGTTGTAGTTGCATGAGAGAAATTTTGGGGATAAATGTCTGATATTACACACAAACTTGGTTTAAAATAAAACATCATGGGTTTTAGATCCGCAAATCTTTGAAAAGTGTGCATTTTTTCCACAATTAAAATATGTAACTCTACAAGCAAGACAGACTTTCCAATTATGAGTTGTGTTACCACAAAATCAACACTTTTTGGTAAGATATTTTTGACAGGGCTACAGCTGTGGAGCTCTTTTCTGAAAATTCACTCTTGTGACCAACAGCGGCTACTGCACCTGGAACCAAAAAAGTGCTTGAGTAAAGTTGTGAATTTTTTTGACGTGATCATGTGCTTAATTGAAGGCCAACAATAGGTCCAGTGTTGAATTTTCCAGCACCTGCTGCCTAATATAATTGGAGGAAATCCCACTTATAAAGGCATCTCTGATTTGCTCTTTTCTGTATTGTTCAGCAGTGACTTTTTTTTATTGTTGCAATCTTTACTAAGATTTCATAGTTCCCGAAGGAAATTCTTAAGGGCCTCCTCTGGCTTCTGGTATCTGGTCAGAAGCTGATAACCTTGCAGAGATCTCATTAGGGGTCTTGATATATAGTTGGTCCAATGTTTGGACAACTTCCTCGTGATTTGTACAATCTTCAATGTACTCATACACTCCAGATGAAACACAATTTATCAGAGATCAGAACTTCTTTGGCGGCCCTTTCAAACATTCCAGAATAAAAATTTCAAATGTTCTTTTTCCAATGCTTCCATTCCTTAGAAGCGTTTGGGGCATTGTGATCTAGGTCCACTCGATATGGCTTGAGTATTTTGGATATATTGAATTTTTGTATTGAATTTTGAACAAGATTCAAAATATCAGGAAGGCAAAACAGCAATAATCTTAAGGAAGGCTGTATTCAACAAAAAAAAACTCATAAAACAGCAGAACAATGCTATTTGTGTCTCTCCCAGAATACCACTCTCCCCAAATTACAGCACAATTTAAAAAGAAAAAAAATAATGTATGTTCATATATATACAAAACATTAGTTTACATAAAGAAGAATTTACATAACACAAAAGATGTTCATTTACATAACACTGTTTTCAGTTAAATTAAAAATTGTCTTAATTATGATGTGAATCTCATGATTAAATGATTTATATAGATGTAAACGATAAAGATAATTGCTTATTTTGTAAGTTTATAACAGCAAAATTGAACACTTCCCACCTTCCATAAACATAGTAATATTCAGATTACATACAAAAATAATATATATATAATAATATATATATATATATATATATATATATATATATATATATATATATATATATAAATAAATATATTTCTACATTTAAAAATAAGGCATTATATACAAGATTACTTGGCTCCCAAATAAATTCTCCACATCCTTCTGTGACCAAATAATAGTTGGACAGACACTTGTTCAAGAGGAGATAAATGAAGTTATCAATATACAAACATAATAATAATCAAAAAATATTGAGTCATATAAATGAGATAATATTACATATGAAACATTTTAGGAAGTAGTGTATTGAAGGAACTGTAAATGGATGATAAACTAGTATCATAGTATGGAAGAACAATGAGGGGAAAAATTAAATATAAAGTTTATCAAAAATGTTTGATTTATTAAGTAAAAAAATCAAAGACATTTTTTTTTTTTTTTTTTTTTTTTAAATTTTTTTGACATTAACTTTATGAAGAAATCTATTTAACGTTTTGTTAAACTATTTTTTTCTTTCTCAGCCATTGTATTGATTCATTTTCCAGTCTTCAAGGAAATTCAAAGTTTTGTTAATGCAAAGGTACACAATTTAGTGAATATTGCAAATGAATAAAAATTTCTCAGTGAAATTGTAAAATATGTTTGCTTGGTCATCAAAGAAACATCTGTTTTATCATTATCCTGATGGAATATTACACTCTTTCTCTTAAACAATTCCAGATTTCTGTCTTTATTTGATCTAATCAACAGTAGTACATATTTGAATCAATTGCTTGCTTCTCTGGAAAGAACTCATAATAGACGACCTCCTTTCAATTCTACCGACTGTACATCATCACCTTCTTTCAATTAAAACTTCAAATAATTAGTGGTGGTTTATTTCAGTGATCTCTTGCATTCTATGTTATAAAATAGCCAACTTTTCTCAACTATCACAACTTATTTAAAAAACAGAATAGTTTTGTTCTGTTTAAGAAGTGAATTGTACACACAAGTGCATTTTTTATTTATTTTCTTTTGTTTATTTATATATGAGGAAGTTACACATTAAAGTGACTAATATAAGTAATGTTTATCTTTATTTTTCTTTGCTTGATTTGGATATTTTGTGTATATTGGCTCATTATCTAATATTTATTATTCTCTAGTAATATTTTAATTTGATTGCTATCAAATGATCTACTCAGTTGTGGAGTGTCATTCTATGAGAAATCTCATGCCCAAAATGTCACAACCTATTTTTGACATATTCAATCTTTCACAATACCTTCTCCATAAACTGGAGGAATTTTTTTGGTATTTGAGTTTTCTTTCTTTCTTTTTTTTTTTTTTTAAATAAGCATAATATACAGAGAATGTTGCTTATTTTTCTCCATCATCAATCTTAAAATCAAAATTTGTTTTTCATGCATTCTGTTATAACAAGTTTTTATAAAAACAATCAAAAGCGATCTTTTTTTAATGACTTCTTAAAACTAAATGCTCTTATTTATATTATTTTCATGCAGACTATTGTTCTTATCTTCTCTTTTGTGATTAACAACAAAGATGAGGACAATAGTCCACATGTAAGTAATATAAATAATGATAATTCCAGCTATATATCTTGAGATTCTTGACAAAATCTAAAGAAAGGTCTGTAAAGATATAAGTCATGACCTGGCATCTCAACTTCAGTCACATTCCCACCACCGTGTTGTAGCTTCCCTCTTTCTTTTGTATAAATATTTTCATGGCAGTTGTTCTAATGAACTCTCCTCCTTGGTACTTTGACCACATGAATTTAAGCATACTACTAGATTGGTAACTAGGTCTCATCATTTTACTGTTGAAATAGTTAGATTTAACTGTAAATTCTATACTAATAGTTTCTTTTTTTTTGCACTTTTCACTTTTGGAACTCTCTTCCAGTTTCTTGTTTCACTGTCACCTCTAATCTTCAAAATTTTAAATACATCGTCAATCACCATCTTCTGTCTTTGTAAAATTATGTTCTTTTATTGTACTTTATTCTCACTTAAGTATTCTCATTCTCTTCCACTCCCAGTAGCCCTTTGCAGCTTAGTGGCATTATTGCCTTGCTTGGAGTGAAATGATTTTAAAAAAGAAAGAAAAAAAAAATAGAAAAAAAGCTCTTCATCCCAGAAATGCTCTTAATGAAATGTAACAACAAAACAGAACTTTTGGGTCAATAATATCTCCAGACGATATATTTGAAGAAAAAAAAATATATATAAAAATATATATATATATATATATATATATATATATATATATATATATATATACACACACAAAATAAAATATAAATAAATAAATGAAAAAGCATATAAACTTATATTTTTCTCATTCTGATATGCTTTCCAATTATAATAACATTTGTTTCTTTCTTTGCAGGCCAGCATGTGTTTTGTGGATATTGATGACACAACTGTTGAAATTCCTGAGGATTTACCGATGTTTCCACACCAAAAAGACCTAATGTTGGAATTATCAGCTCTCCTCTCACGATATCGCAGTGAGTTCAACAAGGATAATTATACTAGCCAGAGTCTTGACAGGCGACTTGTATACAGCCAACGTAAAGGTGGCATTCGTAAACCAGGCTCTTCATCTCTGCTCACAGACTCTCGCAGCTGGAACTCTTCCCCAGAAAAGAAACGTGAAATCTTGCAGAACAACGAAACATGGACACGGATATCTGCCCTGGCCAAAAAGACAGGTGTGTGGGATACAATAGAGGACATTTCATCAGACAACAATTGCAACAAAGAAGCTATGTGTCAGACACTTTCGAAAGATGTTTCCACCATGCCTACGGCCGAGCTGATAGAACATAAATTCAACAATGCTGTACGTGAGATTTTCTTGAATCGATTTGTGCATATGTTCTGCTCGTATGAGTCATTTGTCATTCAGCCAATGCAAAACATGGAGCAATGGCTCAGCAATCGAGAAATGATGCAGAACTTTGACAAGGCAGCATTTCTCAGTGACCAGCCTGAAGCTTATCTACCATTTCTCTCCCCATTCATTGAGACACAGATGTTCACGACCCTCATTGATAATAAAATCCTCTCCCAGTGGGAAAGCTCGGACCCTTTCTTGAAAGTGTTTGATGAACGAGTTAAACAGTTCAAAGAAAAATCCGGGGAGGCTCACACGCCTACGTACCACACATGTGATACTATACAAGATGCAGGTAAGAGAAATGAATGCTTCTTTGATAACATGTAAAATCAGAATGAAATAATTGTTCTGAATTACATGGTATTTTGAGAAATGACTTACAGTATTCCTTTAATTAAATTTAAATATATTTAAGTTATTTGATTAAACTTTGAAGAAAAACAGATAGAAATTTAAGCCACAAATATTAATCATTTGACTATCATTTATTTTTACATAATTTCTAATCCATGCTGTTTATTTGCAGCTATAGTTTGTCTGAGACATGATAAAAATTGGGACTATTTAATATTTAGCATTCTTTGTAATTTATAAATATTACTTCCCCTTTTACTGTATATAGAATCCCCTCAAAATATTGTGTTTTATATATTAGTTCTATATATTTGAAATTGCACTAGCCTGGCTTTCAATTTCAGTCAAGATTGTTTTAAGTGTTGCCATAGAAGGATATGACAATGTAACCAAGAAATTCAAATTGTTGTAGAGTAACTAGCACTCCTTCAGAACTCTACAGAATGGCCTGGCTCATAGCCTTAAACAGTCTATGATTAAGGACTTCAACAGTTAATTAATAAGTTGATAATAAGCTGATTAATATTTGGACTGATCTTACTTCATTTAGCTATACAGCATCTGACCCTCCTCTATTTCTTGTAAGTTGTCTTGTTAATTGTTTTGTAACTTATTGTTCTGTGTTTTTTGTATGTATCCGTTAGCACCGGATACTGGTGCTGAATAAATATATTAAGCATTCATTCTTCTTTGTGTATCATTCACCTCAACGATACAACACAAATTCAACTAGTTTTGGCAGGACAAACATTTTGCTTTCAAAATAATCACTTACAGAGAGCTAAAGGTTAAATTAACTGATCTACCCATAAAAAATGTGAAAAAGATATTTTTAACAATTTTTATAGATTAGCATTCATTAGACCTTTCTTTACCTACAACATTTATCAGAATAAAAAAATTTTTTTTTTTTTTTTTTTTTTTTAATCATTTTAGAATTTGGAGGGTGTCATGTTCATAATATAGATACAGTGTCAAATTGATACTTGACTTTATAAAGAGTTATCTGTACTTTATTTTTATTTACACCCTGGAGAGGTCATCCCTGTCTCACCTTCAAAGTACTGAATTTTGAGCAGAGTGCTACCTTTATCTTGTGAGATAGACAGACGCTGATTATCAACTTAATCAGAAACATCTTGAAATGACCAAAATACTTGTCTAAAAATAATGATTGACAGCTTCATTTGATAATAAAATTCATGATAATTTTAAAGCCACAATATTTGAAAAATTTACATCCATAAAAATGTCTTGTTTATTTTTAACAGTATTTATATATTTAATATTTTTTCTTCTTGAAAAGGAAGAAAAAAAATTAATTTTTGAAGTTGATAGAATAAAATTTTGTAAATGAATGTCAATAGCTAAAATTATATATTCCACATGATCAACAATGAAGTAAAACTTGTTTAATGTTAATAACATTCAATATATAACATATTATAGGTATTAGCATAGTATGACATAAGGCCATGTGTCATAAAGTGTGACTTCATATTTTATCAGTCCAGTGAACTGCTCTACCATTACTGCTTGGATATTTATGTAGTCTATGTCTTAGCTATGCTAATTAGACAGTCATTTACATAATACTACACCATGAATGGAGGCACAGTTTATCTGACCATTAGAGATCTATGACCAGAGAAAACACTACAAATGAAACAACTGAGGCAGTTACTTATGGTGCTAAAACTTTTATAAAAGGATCTTAGTGTGTGAGAGTTGGCATATTGTAGCCATTTGAATAATAATACATCAGCAGTTGACCTAGAGAAGTGAAAGGTCATATTTTTGTCTGAAAGAAGGCCCTGCAAGCTGAGATGCTTGACCAATTCTGAATTGATTAGAGTATCTAGTACTTTGCCAAAAAGAGGTAGAAAGCTAATAGGAAGGATCAGACAGCTTGTCTTAAACTTGAAACTACATTTCTTGTTCTACTGTCCATATCTAGCATACCTTGAACTGAAGCCTTTATTAAATCTACAAGAGTAGATTGTTCTTGTTGCACTGCCAATATCTAGTATATTAAGAATGAAAACCCTTTATTCAATCTATGGGGGTGGATTCTTATTCTGCTTTCCATGCTTAGGGGAGATAACTCATATAAGTTTGTGCATATTCATCTTTGTGTCGCTTGTCTATTTCTTCCAATGATCCAGTGTATGTGTCTGTTTAGCACTACCAAACACAAAGATTCAAATTACAACTATCAGTAAACCAGATATCTTTTAACAAATGTTTAATTCACATGTGTAGCTTGTGGAATTTATACTATATAAATATCAATATTAATTACAAACCGGAGTTCTTTGATTTGGGAATAAAACTAACTGCTAATAGTATTATTTGCTACTAGCATTACATGAATAATACAGACTAGAAATACCAGTGAAAATTTCACTGGTTTTCTATTTTAATTTTCTGATGAATCTTAATTCTTAAATTAATGATTAAATAAGCTCCTTGCATGTTTCACAACTATAAAATACCCATAGAAATTCTTCTATTGCTTTGTTTTAATATTTCAACTTAACAACTTTAACAAAGATGAATGCAAGTTATTGCTTAAATAAATAATAGGATACCAATGAAAAGATTAAAAAAACTGACAAAGTTTTCCATTTCACTGAAGCAGACGTGTATTATCACCTTCTCTATCTCTGCTTTTTTTCTTTTGTTTTCCTTTCCTTTCTCTAAAACCAAGTAGCTTTTTTGATATATCTTTTCTTCTATTTATCTTTGCAATCAATCAAGAATGGTACATTCTTTATCTGAGGTAATAGTGGTTGCATAACATAAGTGCTATCTAAATAACTAAGGAACAAACTGAATTATCATATAATGTTCTATTAGCTTTTCTGTTATACTGTCAGTAATTTAGATTGTCATTTTCTTCATAAACTTTATTAAAATTGTTTTTTTTTTTTTTTTACATAGTTTACAACTGTGGATCAATAAATTATTAACTGAATTTTGACCTGAAAATTTCACTGTATAATGTTTGATTTATATGATTAATATTCACCATTGAATTAAGTGGTAAATATTAATTATATAGATTTTTTTTCTCATATTCTCTAACACTCATTAATCCTTTGTATTTTAGTGGCTTTATTGCCTTGCTTGGGGTGAAATGAGGACAAAAAAAGTGTCTGACAAAGAAGATTATTTGGGAAATATTTGACATATAAAAGAAATTCTTTTTTTCATTATCAGGTGACAGACTTATTGATTTACCTGAGTTTCATAGCATTGAATTAGTAAACTTGTTTTAATAAGGAGACAGTATTGCTATACTTGGGCAGGCTTAACTCCTCCTCCTGCTTTTATGAATTTCTTTGAGTCCTTTAGTTTTAATCACCATTCTAATATTATCAGATGATGTTCCAAACTTTTTCTTTAATATTGTTAGCTTTTTGATAAGATTAGATATGATTCACAATAGATTGATCTGTTCAAAGTTAGCAATAAAACTTGACCATTTACAGGAACTATATAAATAATGTGCTAATTTTTAACTGTTTCTTACATCTTTTTAAAAGACATATCAAATAAATATAACTTTCTTTTGATAGCTAGTTGTTACTTCTTTTAATGTAAAACAGCTCATTCCTCTTCATCCATCATATACCAAAGATTTATTTTTGAAAAATTTTAAAAAAATCAATTGCTGTTACCAACTGCCCAATGATTTTTTTCTATCAGAAATATTCAGAGTGCAATGAAAAATCTTTTTTCTGATGAAATTGTTGAATCTGTTTTTATGACTATATATGTTACGAGCAGGCTTCGGCCACTCACTATCGCTTCACAGAGTAAGATAAATTCACTACTTGAGATCTTTGAAACAAAACTTTTAAATGAACATTTCATTCATAAATTGGCTTGTTAATTGAAAAAAGTGTGACACAATGACACTTGCATATATATATATATATATATATATATATATATATATATATAAGTCATGTGACATTAAGATCTATTCCACCATTGTTACATGTGAAACTGCGTTCGATTCAAACTCCAAACCATTACAACTTGCTTTCTCTCAACTTCTACAATGGCCAAAAGTACTTGGAACATTATGCATAATTTAGGCAAGTTCCTTTACAAGTTTCAACCTGACATCAAACAAATTATTTGACACCTGGAGAAACTTATCAAAAAGTTTAACAGGCACACCTTATCAATTATGTTTAATAAAACATTTAAATGAAGGATTGCTGCCTAAACATACACACTTTTTATATATATATATATATATATATATATATATATATATATACTAGCAGGCTTTGCCTGCTCACTATTACTTTTGCAAAGTAAGATATATTCACTACTTGAAATATTTCAAACAAAAATTTTAAGTGAACATTTCATTCATAAATTGGCTTGTTAGTTAAGGAAAGTTTTACGAATAGATGCCAATGACCAAGTAAAACGCTAATTTCAAACACTTTTCTGCACTATGTAGGACAATATTCCTAAACAGAACTATTTTTGATATGAAAATCAAAACAATCCTTAAATAAAAGAACAAAAATGAAGAATAGTTAATAAAATATACTTTTTTAAAATAAATATATGCATTTATTCATATAGATTCCATAATATAGTTTTTATTTAATTAGTTATTATGTTTCTCTAACTCTTCAAATATTCAATGTATAACTAATTTTCATTTCTGTTTTCTCATCTTTACACTATAGTAATTTTATCTTATAAATTGTCCCCTGTTCTGTCACATATGAAATAAAAATAATTGTTTGTATGGAAAATAAGGATCTACATACATCAAATCATCTTTAGATTAAGTGGCAGCAGAAGAATTATCATTGAACTTTTAAAAGATAAGCTTAAACATTAATTTAATACTTAAATGCAGCAATCAATTTTGAGTTCTTCTGTAATTTATCTATCGCATCTACTCCTCCTTAGCTATTGTGATGATGACCAAATCAAGA